TGAAAAAAGTTTTTTCGAAAAGAGCCTTAATCTTGTTAGAAATGGATGAAAATAAATTTTTTGGTCCTGTCAATTCTAATGCAATAAAGAAGTATTTTGCTTAATCCCAAAAAAATAAAAATAAAAAAAGAGAAAGTTCAAATTGAAAACTTGAAATGGCGGTTTGGACTAAAAAAAATAGATAAAAAAATTCAAGTCAAAAACCTGAAAGAGCAACTTGGATCCAAAAAAGTTCGGATTAAAACTCTAAAAGGCAACTTCAATTGGCACTACTTGGGAAGGCATATCAGGGACAGTAAATCCCGAAAAGCTTTAAAGTGTTGGGGCATTAAGTTTTAATTGAACTTTTGAAAAGGATTCGAGATTTATTGTCATGATTATTTAATCATTTATCTTGGGGCACCACTACCCCAAAATAACTGCTCCTATGCATTCATTTTCCTTCACACCATCATTTGTAATTGATTATCCAAATAAATGAAGGTCATTTTATTATTCTCTTAATTTTATACATTACTTTTCCTCTTTGTATCTTGCCATAAATGGGAGAAATATATAACTTGCAACCTCATACTTGGAAATTAGGATAATGATTAATAATTGAACAAAATCATAAGAAGTATGCGCTACTTTGAAGGATTAAAATGGATATAGGTTAAAGATTGGCTAAAAAATGAGAGGAAGAAGAGGAAATTAACTTCTATGGCTTTCTTTAGGGTAAATAGATAGGTGGATGAAAATGTTCATTTGCCAAAAACATGAAAGCTGGTTTCTTTGCATGCCTTCAGGTTGATAAAAGTTGGTTCCTTTGCCAAAAATACACCTCCAGGTTGATGAAAAATAGCTTATTTACCAAATATAAAGGGGAATTTCTTCGCTAAAATGTATAGTGAAGATAAACATTCAGGATAAAGATCGATGGTTTCTTTGTTAAATGTGTGTAGAAATGAGAACGCAGAAGCCTTAGTACCACATTGATGTTTCATTTGCATAAGACATACACTTGCACTATCCACTTATTTGATCTTAACTCAGGTCAGATTATATTTAGACCCGTAATGTCGGTCTGATCATTTATCTTTGGCTTCAATTCAGTCTTAGTCATTTTATTTTGACTTACGACATTATCCCAATCATTCGATCTCGACTCAGGTCAGATCATATTTAGACACGTGACATCAATTTGATCATTTATCTTCGACCTCGACTCGATTTTGATCATTTCATTTTGACTTACGACATTATCCCAGTCACCCAATCTCGACTCATGTCAGATTATATTTAGACTCATGACACTAGTCCGATCATTTATCTTCAACCTTGACTCGATCTTGGTCATTTTATTTTGACTTGTGACATTATCTCAATCACCTGATCTCAACTCATGTCAGATCATATTTAGACTCATGACACTAGTCCGATCATTTATCTTCAACCTCGACTCGATCTTGGTCATTTCATTTTGACTTATGACATTATCCCAATCACCCGATCTTAACTCATGTCAGATCATATTTAGACTCATAACACTAGTCCGATCATTTATTTTCAACCTCGACTCGATCCTGGTCGTTTCATTTTTTACTTGCGGCATCGTCCAAGTCATTTGATCTCGACTCATATCAGATCATCTTTAGACCTGCGACATCAGTCTGATCATTTATTTTCGACCTCGACCCGATCCAAGTTACTTTCAAGCTACAGGTGTTCCAGTCATTTATTTGAGTTCGACTTCAATAAGATCATATTTTGACTTACAGCACTGTCCCAATCATTCAACATCGGCTCAGGTTAGATTATTCTACTTTTGACTCGAAGTTCACTTTGATCAATTTTACTCGTTAGTTTGACTTGAATAGAATGGGTGTCTAAGTCTTTACATCATATTTATCTAACAAAGATATACAAAGAGGGACAGCTGTAGACACCCATTTATGTTTGGGCCCATTTTAAGTCCAAGCCTGATTAGGTCCACATTAGGTTCGGGCTCGATTGGACCCATTGAGATCCAAGTCCAATTGGGCCCATCAATGTTCAGGCCCAATTAGGACCATTTGGGCCCAAAAAGATAACTTATTATTATTATTATTATTATTATTATTATTATTATTATTATTATTATTATTATTATCTTTGTCTAACAAAGATATACAAAAAGGGACAACTGTAGACACCCATTTATGTCTAGGCCCATTTGAAGTCTAGGCTTGATTAGGTCCACATTAGGTTCGGGCTCGATTGGACCTATTGAGATCCAAGTCCAATTGGGCCCATCAATGTTCAAGCCCAATTAGGACCATTTGGGCCCAAAGGGATAACTTATTATTTTTTATTTTTATTTTTCTTTTCCTTTTGTTTTTTCTCCTATTTCCTTTTTTATTTCACTTGCACAAGAAAATCAGGATCAGAATCCTCTTGGTCAACACAGAATCAAATTAATATGACTGTTGAAATTTTGGACCTAAAATCAAGCCTGAGATTAATTTTGTCCGTTTTTTGAATTGATAATAGACTGTCTATAAATTGGATCTATTATACAAAGCAAGAACATAGAGAACACAAAAAAAACATAGAGAAAATTTTTGGGGAAAATTCTTAGAAAAGTTTGGCAATAAAGGTTTCTGAGATTCGAAAATTGGGATTTTAGATTTGATTCAAAGTTTTGATGGGATTTTAGGTTTCTAGAGGTGATTTTAAAGTTGTAAGAGGTTCAGGGAGGGTTTATGATGCTCTAGGAATTCTTTTAAATTTTTTTGGATTTTTTAAAAAAAAATTTGGGTTTTTTTAGGTTTTCTGAATAATATTAAATTTTTCGACGAAAGTTGAAGTTTTTGATGAGATTTTAAGAATTCAACATGTTTTTCAGAAATCGATGGATTTTTCAATTTTTAGTTGAATTTTTTGGCCACATTCCCAAAAAATGATGAGATTTTTAGTTTCCGGTTGAATTTGCCAGTGGGTTTTTTAGAGAAAAGGTCAGAGGTTTTTTGGGTTAGAGAGAGAGAGAGAGAAATTCTGAGATTTCTGAGAAAAAACGTTGCAGGGTGCCTTATATATCGCCTCTACGCGACGTTATTTTAGTAAGCCAAGATCCACGCATTGACTCAAAGAGCTTCACACCAACCCACGTCATAATCCGACCCGATCTCATTTTTTTTTCTATTTTATTTTATTTTATTTTTTGATTTGGATTTATTTTATTTTATTCTAACCCTTTTTATTTTGTTTTTTTTTCTTTTTGGTTTTTTTTTAAAGAGGAAGATTATTTCTGTCATTTTTTTTTTTAGAAAAAAGGTAAAAGAAAAATGATGATGTTGTTTAAAAAAAAATCTTCCTAAAAACAAAATAAAAATCAATAATTCATTATTAAATTATTTGATAAATTATAAAAATGAGCAAAGCTTGAATAATTCGAAATCAAACTAGTATCATCCTTTAGATGAGTGTTTTGAGAGTGTTATAAACTTTCTCATGTACAATTAACTTCCGAATCTAATAACTGTTTTGTAGATCAACTTCAATAAGGTGATGTATCACACTTAGTCAAAAAAAATTGGTGATGACTCTTTTCATTTCATGTCTAACGGTAAGTCCATTGATCTACACGTTATGATAAAAGTAAAACTCAATGAAAGTCGATCAATTTTTCAACAAGCTAATGCCTTTGTAGATAAGAAGGATTACAGTAACAGCTCCAACACTAAAGAGGAAAGCACAGAAAGCTAACAAAGCCATTTTAATTCATATGTGCATAACACATGAATGTCCAGAAATGAACATAATCCCTTTTAATTAAGAAAAACAAAAAAGAAACTCAACAACCAACTTTCAACAACGAAACATGAATTTCAGCATTATCATTATTTTATTTTCTATATTTTTTCTCCAATTAGAAATAGTCTCCCTTTCACAAGTCACAGACAGATGGTGGCATATGACTGACTTACTGTTACTTGTGGCTGGTCGTGCAGCATCAATGTTGCAGTCAAAGAGGTGGCTCATGGATCTAGAGGTGAAGAAGGCTGGACCAAATTGGTTGCACTTGGCGAGAGAAAGAAGAAAAAGAAAGGTGCAGGTCACCTTGGTTAGTGGGGACTCAACGAGGACAAGAGTTGGCGAGTCTGGTGACTCTGCTGGTGGTGGTGAGGTGGTAGGATGGTGGTTGTCATGAGAGGAGAAGAAATAGAAACTAGAAAGGCAGAGACCGTGGAGAGATGAGAGAAAAACATTCGAGGGTTAGTGTATTTTTGGGTATTAGGATTTTCTGGTGGGTATTATCTTTAAAAATGTTTATATAAAATATTTTAATATATAACATTTAATAATTTTGGACACCGAAAGTCGACTAAACTAATTAAATAAACTGATTTAAATTGAAATCGAATTAACCAAATTTGATTGGTTTTGGTCTGTATATTCGGTTAGAAGGGATTAGTGTTCGTTGCTACTTGGTAATTCTTATTGTCTGATGTAGTATTAACTTCAACTGTCTAGAAATGGAACCACGTCACAATTCTACAGTTGTGGATTTCAACTACCAATGGATATGGGTCCCATGTGGGCCTACTCTATGCCTGGTCAAGTTCCATTTGTTTATGCAATTAATTTTAGGGAATGTGCTCCGTATAGACACCAGCTTCCAACACAGAAGTCGTATAAGACCATTATTTAGGTTAAATCAAGACTTGTTTGATCAATTTGCTGTGTGTTGAATTTTATTTAGATTAAGTTTTCAGTTTGTGTAGATAATGCACAAGTATTTTATCTAGGTAAGACAGTTTTGCTGTAGTTGATGTTGTTTTACTCTATAAGTGACAATTTGTTGTGATAGGGGAGGAAGATAATTTTGGTTGTTGCTTGTAGGTTTTGGGTTATGTGTTTTATCTCATTCAGGGTTCCCATTCATACTTCCAACTAGAAATCTTCTTGAAACTTTACCTTTCTTGCTTGAAGTTACCTTATTGAACATCTGGTATAATAGTCTGTTTTTTGTCAATTAGGCATATAGAGTTTCTGATATCGAACTCGTGAGGGTACTTCTGCACTCTTCCTAGTGCAGAGGTGAGGTAAATGTTGCGTGTTTTCAACTTTTTGGTGGAGGTCCTGTTTATGGAAACAAGGTCAGTACCTTATTATCTTAGAATTGGTGTTTTATATGCTTATATTCTTGAATCACAAACCTAACTAATATCTTTAATTTGGGAACAATGAGAGTTCTTCAGTACAATGGTGCTCAGGGTGCCAATTGCAGCACACCAAATTATTCCCCTGAACAAAACATGGCTGAGTTAAAATAGCAACCAAGGTTGCTCACAGTCTTTCTTTTTTGTTATTCTGAATCTGATGACCATCATTTTACTAAACGAATTGCCACTGATACTGCACTGTAATATTAGTCTTAAACGGTGTCTACTGTTTTCTTTCTTTCATGCCTCACGTCTTCTTGCTCCTTTTTCCTTTTGCATTGGTTTTATTGTATGAACTAAATAACTAGTCTAAGCTTAAGGAAGCTGATGGGGCTGGAAGCCCTAGCCACTTACTCCAACTTGGCGAAGTTTTAATTTGGTCGCTAACTCATTATGTGTCCAGAAAATTTCTTCTTTTCCTATTTGGTTTAATGTCTTAAACACTTCTTGAATTATAATAAAATATTTAATATGATCTTTAAATTTTAAAAATTTTTAAAGTGATATTTAAATTTTGAATCTGTTAATTAATATATTATTTGAAGAATTATTTGTTAGTCATGTGTCATTATTTATGATTAATTACGTCATGAATAAATATCACATTAGAAATTTTTTAATTTTAAAGATCAAATTGAATCTTTGACTATAAGAGCTATTTAAGACATTAATCCTTTTTTGTTAATGAGCCCTAAAAATTTTTAGACCTTTTGAATTGCGAATCCAAGGTTATTGCTATAAAACGGCTTTTATGACTAAGATGGAAAGTCAGACTTAATTTTTACATATGATATCAAGTCATTAAGATACTTTTAATTAATTATTTTCTTTTGTGATTGTAGGTGTAAAGATTTGCATTAAGATGCTAAAATTAGGGACTCTCTCCTACTGTACAGACAAGCTCAAAGACGGATTTACAATTGGGTTGAGGCAGTATGAGCAACCGCCGTCACTGAAATCTGAAAAAGGAAAATACATTTTGGTAGGTGCTGTCTTAACTACTACTCAATGGAAAAGTTTCAATTTTGCTCCCACTGAAATTCATTTTAGTACGCACTTTACATTTAGTGTTAATAATAATACATAACTAACTAGAAAAACTTTTTTTATGAAAATTTTATATTTAATAAATCTCACTTTTCATCTTTCCATTTTCAAGATTCTAATAGGTAATCTCTCCAACTTTTTTAATGCTTCATATCCAAGTGTTCGTCTCTCCTTGGGAACCTTTGGATACAATTATTGTTTATTATTAGCTTGGCCCCAGCCCATACTTATGATACTACTAACAAAAAGGTGTGTAGAAAACAGGGATTATTTCTCTCTCTCTCTCTCTCTCTCTCTCTCTCTCTCTCTCTCTCTATATATATATATATATATATATATATATATATATATATATAAAGGAGACAATGAAAACAAGAATTACAAAGTAGAGATTTCTGCATTTTTTTTCTTGGGGGTTTTCATTTTCCTTTAGAAAACATAAGTATTTTTTTTTCTTGTACAACGGGGATCAGAAAAAGTATTACTATCCAAACATAAAGTTTCTTAATCCAATCTATTTCATTTTTTTATTACTCGTATATTTTATTGAACAGCCTGAGGCTCGTGAAAATGATATCCAAGTTGTTTTATTCTTATGCTAATAATTCGTAACATTTCCTGGTAGTTTCTCATCCATCTCTCTTTAAGTTTCAAGATGGATTCATTTTAGAGGCAATGAGTATTATGGCATTAAACATCTGTCCTTGTTTTTGGTAACAGAAACATTATTGCAAGTTATAACTTGCATGTAGCACATTTCTTCACACTATGATTTTAAACTGGTCTCAACTCCACAAGCCTAAATTGAATTGCTTGAGTGCTGTAAGTTGCAACCTGATTCACAAGTTAGCCCCAAGTTTAACTGCTTCCAGCTTTGAAAAATATTATTAGACCAAACCAGCCTCCTCATGTAGAAAAAACATCAAGAAAAGCATGGAAAACTTTGAAATCCAGGCATTTTTTTGTCAAATATAGAGGAAAATTGCTAACAAGAATCATATGCAATAATCTAATGCTTTTCAATTCATAAATATTGAAAATTGGATAGCCACAACCCGCTTGTATACTACATCATTCAGCACCTGCAGATTTTTATACAAGTGTAAACCATCAAAGCTTCTATAATACAGTTTCAAAACCAATCCTACAAAAAAGAAACCTATCTGTCACTTCTCTTTCAAGGACCGGATTTACTATTTTAGAATGAACAAGCAACGCTAATAATCAGCTATGCACGAGTTAGATGATCCCAAGTGGTTTCAATATCAAAGAAAATCATACCAGTATCAAGAGATATATGATCAGGGGGCACTGGATTAAGTCCTGCAGTAAGAGAAACTTCAGGAATAGATGGGTTATCAAAAAGGAGGCTCTCAAACTCTTTGAAAATTGACTTATATCCTTCATTTACCTCCTTGAATGGCTCTTCCTCATTTCTAGACCCCAAGGTTTGAAGCTGTAAATAATCAACAGAAGACTGTTGATTGATTTGACCAATGTTGTTGACCGAATTACAGTTAAAATCAGAAAAACCATTATATGTTGCAGGTTGATTTTGATTCTGAATGTGATAGGCATGTTGGTGTACATTTGACTGAGGAACAGGCTGACTGTATGCTGAGGGTAGGGGGGTTGCTGAGTTTGTAAGGACACTACCCATACTAGGCTGTGAGGAGCTCTGTTGTGTATATGTTCCATTTGTGTCAGAACAAAATTTTGGCCAGCCAATGGGATCTGGATTCGTGTCATTTGATGTTGTAACTGAAGCAGGACATTGTTGATACTGTGATGCATGGGCAGAAGTAATGTTTTCTGATGGAACATATGTAGTAGTGCAGTTCATTGCTGAGCTAACTTCAGTGTCAAGTCTTTTGGACATTGTGCTGGAAGAAACAAATTGGGAACCCAAGTTTCTAATCATAATACCTCGATCCCTTCGAATTCCAGTGTTATGCACACCTAGCAACTGCTTGGACACTGACCGTGGCTGCACTGTGCTTTTTTTTGGAACAGGTCGGCTACCCACGGTTGGGTTATATGGAAACCCATATCTGGTGGGGGAAGAACAAGCACGAATTATGGATGGCCTTGGGGCATGATTTTGTGGTATGCAGTTTCCAGGAGCTCGAGTTGGAGTTGGTCTAGAAACTTGATTTTGTGTTGTCAACCGAGTAAGGCCATGACGTGGAGCTTGGTTAAGTTGGGGCACTGCTGTAGAATGAGAAGGGAGAGGAACTTTTGCAACTGGTATGGGAACATTGCTCTGAAGCCTGAAATTCTTCCGCAGAGTCTTCCACATCTCTTCATTAGTGGCATGACAATGATCGGTATTAGACATACCTGAGCCCCAATAACAACATGGTGCTGGTGTGTCACAAACAAAGCAATGGCACTGCAATTTCAAAGGGACATTCATTGTTTGCATTTGAAATGGATGCTAAATTCAAGAGCACCCAACTCTGAAAGAGTGCAGAAATCAACCATCTCAAAAGTATAACATTCCAAGTAATTTTTTTCAAAAAATTCAGTTATTTTACCAGTTCACAGTGCTGTTCATGTGAGGTTGAACTGAAAGGAAATTTAGCACAATCATGCCGTGGATGGGGGAAATCTCTGCACGCAATCTGCAACCAGATCATAGAGAAAAATGAGATAGCTATTAGAAATACAGTGACCATGAGATAACAGTCTTCAATGTGTAAAGCAAAAGGAAAAAGAGTAGGTTCAACTAAGAAGTAATGCAACCAGTGATAGAAATCTCTGAGCTTCAAATCTTTTGAGATTTCAGCAGCAAGATTGAGCTTGGTCAACTTCAATATCAATCCAACAGATATATCATGCCGCTAAGACGATACTTTCAATCTTTTTAGACACATTTTCTCACCGAAACTAATGATAATAGTTTTTCAAAGGCACAATCCTCACCAGGTTGGCACTTACAGCACAACATACTGATGAACCCATATCGAAGGTGCTTCAGCAGGTTGAAAGAGTGAATAAATGCATATCACATCTCCAGACAACATGAACATTCAAAACCGCTAGAGCTAGAAGACATATCACTAAAAAAATCTAGAACCACAGCAAAACACACACAAAAAAAAGAAAAAATCAACTTTAAAATTCAATGTTCAGAACCCAAATATCTCAATGAACATTTGTAGTACAAACCAATCGTAAAACTCAACACCAAACAAAGCCTTTCTTCTCATTGCAAGGGCAAAACAATCACAAATTTCACTAGGAACTACTGGAAACCACATAGAAATCGCTTTGTTCTAATTCTCAGCAACCATACATAGACAAATAAACTTCTCCCACGTACTCAAACACAAAAACCAATTATAACAAAAGTTTAAACAAAAAAATGATTAAAAATTTAAAATTTACCTGCCCTTTTTGGCCGACAATAAGCAAGTCATCAGAATCATCCTGGGGATCATTAACATCGGACAACGCCTTGTCCGGGTCACTTTCCAAAATGACACAATCATCGTCATCCTCATCAACAACCTTCCTGACCGATGAGTTCCATGACTTTGACTTCTTATTAGGGTTTACTTCCCCGACCACCACAACCTCATCAGGATCGTCGAATCTCTTATCAACGGCTTCCAAAGCTTCCGAAAACCAATTGTAGTCATCCCCTTTTAGCTCCTCCCAAGCCGGCGTCGCCTCATCGTCTTCGGAGCTTATATCGAAAACCACTGGATTCGACTCCATAAAAAGAAGGTAAAATAAAAACAATAATTTAGGATTTCTATTTTTTAAAAATGAACTAAATTATAGTAACTTTTTATTCATGGGAATTATGAAGATTTTGTAATCTGAACAAAAAACCAGTATAATCAAAAGGGAAACCAGGTTTGAATACATGAAGAATCGAGAATGTTTTGTGGATTCTGGCTTTGGGGTTTTCTTTTTGGATGTTGTTGTATAAAAAAAAAAAAGAGAATATAGGGTTTAGGAAGACGATTTTTAGAAACTTTAATGTAGGAAGGTTAGGGTTTTTAAGGGTTTTGATTAGATTGGAATTTTTTTGTGTTTTTGACTGAGAATTTGGGTGAAAATCAAAGACTGAGGTGAGCTTGAGTAAAGATTTAGAAAAAGATGTAAACTGGAGAAACAAATAAAGAAAAGAGGTGACGGGTATAATTGGGATTTAATAGGTTGTGAGCGATACTGCGAGCGCGACAAGCACGTATGGTTGCTGACTCTCTCGCGCGATATCGTGATGGGCTGCGCTTTATCTTTGGGCTTCGGGTCTTGCTTGCAATTTAGATTAGTAACCAGTAACCACCACACATTCCGCGTTGCTGCGGATTTAAAATGATAATTTGATTTTCGTGTATTAAGTATATTCATTAACAATTAAATTGATGAAATATGAAATTCATGAATAATTAAATTTGTTAATAGTTAAATTAATTCAATTTGAACTTGATTCATAATTAATTAATAATAAATATATGCCCAATTAATTGAGTTTATGAATATCATAAATTTAAGAATGTCTTAGGTTCATTGATATTATAGAACCATGAATGATTAAATTCATGAATATTAAAATATAATTTATATAAATCTAAACTCAAATTTAAATGATACAAAATACGAAATATATGTATTTATAATTAATTGAATTAAAAAATATTATAAATTTATGAATGTCTAATAAATAGATAAATTTATTTAATTTGAAATAAAAAATTAATAAAATATTTTTAAAAATCCACGTGTCCTTATATCAATAACCTTTGGATAGAAATAATATATGTTAAATAGCCCAATATGCCTCAATCGTTTTTAGAGGGTAATTTTGTGCTTGGACCAAACTTGGTTTAACTGTCATTGCATACTTTTAAAAAACAAAAAAATTGTACAAGAATTTAATATTTATTTTTAAAATTTTGATTTGATTATTGCTTTCAACATCAATTTATGATATGTCATATCCCTAAAATAAGGTGATTTTTCCTTAAAAAAAAAGGTAATCCAACTCAAAAATCACAAATCATTCATTATACATAAATATAATCATTTATGTTATGTGTTATATAAAATATTATATTCTTATCATATTTTATACGAATATTATGTGTCATAGTTTATATTGATATGAAAATATAAAATATAAAATTTTTATTTTATTAAATTTATTTATAATTTTTTAAAAATTTTAAATTGTGTTCTCTTTATATTTTTTATTCGTTTCGTTTTCATATCATATTATTATGTTATGTTTTTAAATTATCATGAAAAAAGTAAATAATACCAATGTTTTAAATTAGGACAAAAAGTTTTTTTTTTTCCAATATCATCTAGTTTGGTAAATTTTTATTGCAGCTTTTTTATAATTGTTTTGATTTTATTTATTTTGATAATTAAAATTTTAATTATTCAATTAAAATGACAAGAAATAAAAATATGGAAGATTTATATATACTAGATGGATATTTGCATGTTCGTAAAAGTTTTTTTTGTTTTGTCATTCTTATTATCTAATTCTTTTTGCTGTAAAATTTACTTAATTAAAAAGAATAAAATAGGTGAAAGATAAAAAAGAAATTAGGAGTGATATATGAACACCTTTATTCTTCTCTTTTTCTTACAAAATTTATTTAATAAAATAATAAAATTAAACACTAAAAAAATTAAAAAAATGAAATATAAAAATAACAAATAAAAAAGCTTATAAAAGATAGCACATGGATACTTCATCAAGTTTAAAATATTAATTTCTTAAATTAAAATATTAAATATTGATTTTATTAATGTAATATACATAAATATAAAATTAAATTAATAATTAAATATATAATTTATACACATTATATAATGCATTAGGATAAAATATTCTAAATACGTTTTTGATTTTATCTCGTTTATTTAAAAAAAAATCGATTTATCTCAACCAAATCTTTATTTTAAAAAATAATCTTTTATCAAATTGGGATTGATAGAAATTTATCCGATATAGATTGTTTTGCTATCTATATCAATTGACATATTTTATTATAAATTTTATCTGATTAAAAATATAAAAAATTTGAGAAAAAGAAAAGGCCAAAGAGGGGTTTGATGTGGGCACCTCTATTGGTATTTTTTTACAAAATTAATTTAATTTACAAAACTAAAAACTAAAATTTGAGCTCATTAAAGCACTACTTAGATATTTCAATTAAGTTTAAAATATTAAGTTATTAAATTAAGGTATCAAATAATAATTTTATCAATGTAATACATATATAAAAATATAAAAATTACTAAATAATTAAAAATATATTTTTATATATACTTAGGAGATGGATTAAGGTAAAATATCCATAAATAAGATTTTGACTTGACCTTACTCGAATTTTTTAAAAAAAAATTGGCTCATCTCAACTCAATTTTTATTTTTAAAAAATTCAAATATTGAATCAAAAAAATCAAAACTCGATTGTTTTGTTATTTTTATCAACTGACTCATTTATTATAAAATTTATCTAATTAAAATTATAAAAAAATAAAAATAAAAAAATTGTGAAAAGAAAAAACCAAAAGATGTGTTACGTGGCACTTTGATTGACATTATTTTATAACAAAATTAATCTAATTAAAATTACCAAAAAATCCAAAAAAAAAAAAAAAAACTAAAAGGGATGCCATGCGGACACTTCACTACTCTTAAAATCTTATAATTTTAATGTATGAATAGTTATATTACGTAGACATCCATTGAGCTTTAAAATCTATAACTTATATTGTATGAATAAAGTTCATAAAAAACTTTTTTTAATATAAATTATATTTTAATTATATATAAATTTAATACTTTTATTAAATTAATCTCTTAAATTAATATATTAATTTAATTAATATAATAATATATAAATTAAAAAAATTTTAAAAATAAAATATATATTTTTATATACATTCTAAAATGGGTAAGTGCAAAGCACCATTAACTCATTACTAACCCAATTTGTTTTTCTTTTAGAAACTTAATTTGCCCAAGCCGATCTAAATTTTTTAAAAATTCGTCTCCTAAAGTGAATAAAAAACCATAAAAAAATGAAATATTTTACAATCCCTATCAATAGATTTATTTTATTATAAAATTTATTTAATTAAAAAATAAAAAAGTCAAATAAAAAAAATTAAATTGGGGTATCATGTGAATATTTTCATCGATTTTTTTTTTTACAAAATTTACTTAGTTAAAATATAAAAAAAATAAAAGAAAAAATCAAATTGGGAAGCCATGATCCACTTTCGTTCCTTTTTTTGTTTTCATAAAATTTATCAAATTAAAATAAAAAAAATGGAAAAGAACCATAAGATGCCACGTACACCTTAAAAGATAGTCAACCAAAAGTTAACATGAACAAAATTAATATGGGTAGATAAATTTATTAATATAATATATATATGAATATAAAATTAAATAAATTATATATATATATATTATGAGGTAGAGCATTTGAGATCCGACCGTACGAATACAAAGTCGGAGCTCCGGTATATAAATATAGCGATCCTTCCTGCTACTTTCATTTTTATTAATTTTATTTTGAAACTTTCCTCCTCTCATTGCCTTGTATTTTCGTTGATTCTTCTCAATAACTTCCTTTGATCTTCAAAACTATGACTTGGCTTACTAGGAACTTATTATTTAAATAGTTCTTGTGGCATTTCAGTGATCAACATCATTTCTCAATCTGTTTTAACTGAGAGCTTGGAGCTACAAGTTATAATCCAATAGATATCATGGCGCCAAGAACCCTGAAACCAGATATGGAGAAGACTATGAAAGTGAAATTCCCAGTCAAACGAGTGAAAGCAGAGATGGGAAAAATAAAAGCTGATCAAGAACGCATAGGAAAGAAGCAAAGAAAAATAAGAGGAAAGTTTGGAGAGATTGAAAGGCAATGCGATCAACTCAAAGAAGAAACTGAAATGGTTATCAAGCAAACAGCCAGGACCCAAATTAAGGTCGCTCTCATGTTCAAAATCTTGAAGGCCCGGGAAGGTGGAGATTTCAATGAAGCTGCTAAGCTCACTCACTTCCTTCGGTTCGTTTCTGCAACCCCTTCTCTTGGTTTAATGGATTTACATTGATTTCTTACTTTATTTTCTACCTTTTAAATTTTGCAGTGAGCTTGTCGCCAATGAAAGAGATCAACCCCAAATAGGGAAAAAACAAGCAAGCAAAAGCATCTAGCAGCGGCAAACTTCATACGACGGCTGATCAGCTTTTAATAAGTTGGTCTAATAAAATTTGCTGCCTCTGGTCTAATAGTTGATGTTCCACTAGATTACCATTAAGCGTTTTAAGTGTTTTTTACAAAGTATAAAGGTTTGAAATTGTGTAATTTAAATATGTACTGTCGTATTATTAAGCAAATGTATTTTAAATTTTATATGTAATAATTTTAAATGATTTTATATTTTATTATTTTTATATATTTCAATAAATATTTTTTTATCTTAAAAAGTCATATTTTTAATAAAAATTACATTTTTATCTTAAAAAACGTTATCTTTATTAAATTTTAAAAAAATATTTTTCATGTTTTTAATAAATATTACATTTTTATCTTAAAAATATCATTTTTATTGAATTTTGAACATATTTATTTTAAAAATATCATTTTTTTAACAAATACTACATTTTTTATCTTACAAACATCGTATTAAATTTTGAAAAATAATGATTTTTCATATTTTTAACAATGATTATGTTTTTATTTTCCAAAACATTATTTTTGTTGAATTATGAAAAATAATTTTTTAATCTTTTCAACAAAAATTGAGTTTTTAATTATAACTTTTGTGAGGATTTTAATAGTATTGTGTGAAAAACATTGTCTTTGTTTAAAATATATTAAAAAATTATTTTCATGATACTTTATAAAAAATTACTAGTTTTAAGGTAAATAATACTGGTTATATAATTTGAAAATGTAATTAAGTTAGAGTAAATGGGAAAATAATTTTGCTTCTTTGTGAATCAAATAAAAAAATCAAATTATAAAAAATAAGATTCCAAAAAAAAAAAAAACTTTCTCTTGAACCTAACCCCTCTTGTTAATGTAAATAGACTAAAAACTGTAATAATAAAAGATAAAATAGCAAGACATAAATTCTTAAGTATAATTTATAATGTTCACGACTAAAAACGATTTACATGAAAATTTAAAATGAAATCAAAACTAATATCATATTATAATTTAAGAATTTTGATTAAATTATTTATATAAAAATTTTGAACCCAATACGTCGAGATAAACTATTTTTGTTAATTAAATCGACCGTAATTAAATTTATTTCAAAGTTTATTTTATACTTTCAATGATTTATTTAACACAAATACAATCCGCAAGATTTAAAACATTTACACATTAAAATATATATTCTGATAATATAATTATTATCAGAAAAAAAAATGAAGTAAGAAACCGACGTTAATTAATCGCTAGAAAATCCATTGCATCACGAGAAGGGGTTGGAGAAATGAACCCAAGGAAGTGAGTGAGCGTAGCAGCTTCAATGAAATCTCAACTATCCTAGGCTTTAACATTTTAAACATGAGAACGACTTCAATTTGGTTCCTGGTTGTTTGCTTGATGATCATTTGAGTTGATTGCATTGCCTTTCAATCTCTCCAATCCTTCATCGTATTTTTCTTTGCTCCTCCTCTCCTATGCCTTCTTGACCATCTATTATTTTTCAAATCTTTGTTTTCTTTCGTTTGAATTGGAACCTCACTTTCATTTTTTTTTCTCCATATTTGGTTTCAGGGCCTCCTGCTTTATCTTTCGTGGCGCCATGATAGATGTCGGATTATAACTTGTAGCTCCAAGCTCACAATTACAACAAGAAATGACCTTGAATAGTGAAATGCTATAGGCACGGTTTAAATAACAAGTATCTAGCAGTCCAATTCATAATTTTGAAGATCAAAGGAAGTTACTGAGAAGAGTCAACCAAATTAGGAGGCAATGAGAGGAGGAAAGTTTCAAAATACAAATAATAATAAAAGAGCAGGTAGGATCGCTATATTTATATACTGGTCGTTGGTCAACGTTCGTCAGGAATCGGGCCTTCAGCATTGGAATCGCGCAGTCTTTCGATTGTCATCGCACGATCAAAGATAGACTTTTGGAGTCTTTTCCACGAAAGATACAGGGCTGACCTGCTTAAGGCGGATTATCCGTTTAAAGCTAAAAATTCGTTCAAAAGGATTTAAATAATAGTTAAATTTCGTAAAATGAATTCAGATATAATTTTTAAATTATATTAAATCTAAAATCAAAATTTAGATAAAAATTTAAAATTCGAATTCGATTTTAATTTATATATATAATATAATATTTTATATATATATAAATTAATTTATATATAATTAAATATAATTTTATTAAATTTGATTAATTATATATTTTAAATTTTTTATTATATAAATTAAGTTTAATGAGTAGATTTAAATTTTATTTTTTTAATTTAAATTGAATTTAAAAATATTTCGAATTTTAAAATTTTAAATTGAGCCAGATATGAATAAAAATATAAATCTCATTTAAATCCGATCTGAACATTTCAAATAGAGGGCTTTGATATTTTCGGCCTAAAATTGGACGGAATCTTTCTCGTAAAGTTACCAAGAAAAATAAAGAAATAACAGTTGTTGATAAAAAAATGTACGGAATAAATATTCAATTTAGAACTAAACAATGATTACTCGATTTTTAAAGTTTTAATAAAAATAAAAAAATTTTATATTTAATGTATTAATATAAATTATAAATTATATATTTAATATAAACTTCACACAACGGCTGATCAGCTTTTAATTAAATTGTTCTAATAAGATGTTTGGCTGCCTCTGGTCCAATAGTTGATGTTCCAATAGATTATCAAAAGTGTTTAAAGTGTTTTTTACAAAATTATAAAGGTTTGAAATTATGTAATTTAAATATGTACTCTCGTATATTTTAGATTTTATATGTAATAATTTTAAATAAAATAATTTATGTTTTATTATTTTTATATATTTTCAATAAATATTGTATTTTTTATCTTAAAAAAATCATATTTTCAATAAAAATTATATTTTTATTTTAAAAGTACCATCTTTATTAAATTTTGAAAAAAAAAATCATGCTTTTAATAAAAATTATATTTTTATCTTAAAAATATTGTATTTATTGAATTATTAACATATTTATTTGAAAAATGTCGTTTTTTTTTAACAAACACTGCTTTTTAATCATAAAAGCATCATATTTAGTAAATTTTGAAAAATAATATTTTTTATATTTTAACAACGAATACTCTTTATTTTAAAAATATTGTTTTTTTGAATTATTAAAAATAAATTTTTTATTTTTTCAACAAAAACTAAATTTTTAATTATAATTTTTGTGAGGATTTTAATAGTATTGTATTAAAAACATAATCTTTGTTTAAAATATATTAAAAAATTATTTTCATGATATTTTATAAAAAAATACTAGTTTTTAAGATAAATAACATTGTTTATATAATTTAAAAATATAATTAAGTGAGAGTAAATGAAAAATATTTTACTTTTTTTTCGAAATCTTAAAAATCAATAAATGAGAGGAGAATTTTTATTCTCATACTTTTTCACTTCTCGACATTGTTGGAATCTAAGTAATTATATTCTCGTGAACCAAACCAAAGATTCAAATTATAAAAAAAAAAAATTCTAAAAAGAAAAATTATTTTTCCTTATGCCTTGTTAATGTAAATAGATTAAACATTATAATAATAAAAGATAAAATAGCAAGACATAAATTCTTAAGTAAAATTCATGAAATTCACGACTAAAAATAATTTACTTTGAAAATTTAAAATATAATATCATAGTATAATTTAAGACTTTTGATTAAATTATTTACATGAAAATTTTAAACTTTTTTATTAAGCGACAAAAAGTTAAACAATTCTTGAACTTTACCTATTACATCCTAAATCTAGGTAAGTCCAAATGGACTCAAAAATTTTGAAAACTTTAAAACTACGTAGTATTGATTTATTTATTAAATTTTATTAATCTATTAGTTTTGTTTTTGATTTTTTTTTACATTGATTTTTATCAAACACTCACAATGTTTTATGAAAAACCATATATATATATAGCATTAAATGAAAAAACGACATCACTAGCTACTATAAATGGATAAAAACTAGAAGTAATAACAAAAATTAGTAAAATGAATTAATTAAAAAAAACTTTTAATTAAATATTTACTTTTATAATTTTTTTTTAAATTTTATGTATAGAATATATACATAATATGATATGTGCATATTAATGGTTGTGCACTTATTTAATGCCTTACTGAGAAATCTAAGCTATGCCATTGATTTTTTTTTTTAATTCGAAGGTAGATAAATTATTTAATTTTTTAGATCAGGATAAGATATATCGTACTTAACAACTTAAGATAGGTGGTTATAAATTTTACATTCGAGATGACTCAAACAAATAACTATCGATAAAATTTAAACCCAATACCTTTTTGTTGAGAAAGATAAATTTTAATTGATTGAATCAACCACTTATTAGTCATGCTATTGATTTGTTTCATTTCTTTTCTTCGTTGATTGTATTAGTCTCCTATCACCAAATTCAACCAAGTTTTACATAACAACAAGAAGATTCATGCAATTGAGTCTCATGGTTATAAAATAGATAAATTTTTATGAAAAGCACTAAAAAATGATTTTGGTGTTGAATCGAGGCATGATCATTTTTGCACAAAATCCTTACTAATTTCATTTTTTCAAGTAAAATTCAAGAATAGATAAATTATTCAATAAGATGTATTATATTTAATGGTCTAAAAATAATAGTAAAAAATCATATATTCGATATGATTTAAATAAAAAATTATTTATTGAATTTGAATCCAAAATTTTTAATTTCAAAGCTTATTTTATATTTTCAAATATGATTTATTTAACACAAATACAATCTACAAGATTTCAAACAATTTACACATTAAAATATATATTTTGATAATATATAAAACGTATACTTGCGGCGGAGGCGGCCAAGCATCTTATTTGAACAACTTATTAAAAGCTGATCAGCCGTTGTATGAAATTTGCCCCTACTAAAGGCTCCTGCCTGCATGTTTTTTTTTTTCCCGTTTTGGGGATGGGCTGTTTTCCATCTATGGATGTTCAGTTTTCATTTTAGCCAACTTTGCATTTGCTCTTTCATCGGCAACAAGCTCACTGTAAAATTTGAAAGGTAGAAAATGGAAGTAAGAAACCAATGTTAATTAATCACAAGAAAATCCATCGCAACACGAGAAGGGGTTGAAGAAACGAACCCAAGGAAGTGAGTGAGCGTAGCAGCTTCAATGAAATCTCCACTTTCCTGGGCTT